CCCCAAAACCCCAAAACCCCAAAACCCCAAAACCCCTAATTCTTACATCTTTTTACGAAAATATTAAAATGGCACAGAGCATTTACCCTCCCAACAACAAATATGACACTCTGTTCTCTCGTAGTGGAAAATCGAAGATTTATACAACTCTAAGGCAATGTAAGCAGTCATTCTTATGACTAGATCTTTCTAACTTTCTTTTAGTGGCGTCTTCAGAGCCAGAAACTATCCAAAAGCCTCAGGAAAATCCCAATTATGTTGAAGAAATGAGACAAAAGATGGGACTATGGCATAATTCTGGCAATGAGTAAGATCTTTACAATAAAACCTGGATAATTACCACAATATTTCTTATAGAGGTAGAGAACAAACACTTGACAGCTTTATGGAAGCCAATAAAACATTAAACCCTGAGTCAAAGCTTGAAACTATTTTTACAAAAGAAAGCCCAAATAAAATCAGTGACTTAAGAGCTGGATGTAAAGGTAAATCCTTGCTGTGACTCTCTAGATTTCAAGTACCAAGAAAGTGCATGGCAGGTTAATAAGAAAAATTTGACATCCAGCTTTAGCTCTGAACCAAGAGAAGCTGAATTCCAAAGACACTTGAAGCAGTTAAATCCAAGTATGCCTGGAAAATATAATTTAAAATTTAACTCTACTGAGAAAAGAGTTCAAGGGGTTAGCTTCAGCAAGATCGGTGCTAAGATTCATAAAAGGTTGAACTCTTCCACCCTAAACTCTCCCATCTGTGGCAGAATTATTCGTGCTCTCAATTCCGGTCAAAGTCGTGGCAAGAGTAAGGTACATAATTTATTTTTAGCCATGGATCATAACTCAAGCCATAAATTTTCTCCCCATGTCAGCCAGGGAACTGTAGAAGAAAAGGGACATAGCTCTAAGAGCCAGATGTCACATAAAAGGAGAGAAATTTCCACCAAAACTAGTAAGTTCTATTGTATTGATCTCTATCTAGCTGCTAGGAATGTCCTGTACAACAAAGCCTCGACTACTGATAAACTCTCAAGACAAAAATAAGGAATACCATCTGATAATTTCGAACACAGACAGGTTTATAGATGTCTCTGGCATTCCTGAGATAAAAGCAGGGAATAAAGGATTTATCCATTTTGATAGGATGAGCACCAAGCAGTACATTAGTCCGAAGTATGCTGCCTCTGAACTGAAGCACTCAAATCCCAAGTTCAACAAGCTAGATATAAAGGAGGTTAACAGAAAAGTCCCAGTTTATGAGATAAAATAAGGGGAAAAACAGGGATCCGTATTACAACAAGTTATGGCAAAAGCTGGATCCTGGACTCAAGAATCAAGCTGATTATGACATATCCAAAAGTTTCCAAATGAATAGTAAGAAGGTATCATCCCCTCGGTTCAATAAGATGATGGAAAGGAGTAATGTGAACTCTATCTATTACAGAACTGATGATGTCAGAGATGATGTTGATAATGATCGCCTTCAGAAAGGAATCAATGCAGTAACTCATAAATCCAGTGGAGCCTACATCAACTGGGATAAGCAGAAGAAGAGAGATAGCCTCCTGTATACCCAAACAGAGGCATTCAAGAACATTCAGAATGAGAATACAAGGTATGAACTCATTCAGCAAATGCTGAAAGAACTTTAAGAATTCCATATTTTCAATAATTCATGATTTTTAAGGGGTTTTGGGGTTTTGGGGTTTTGGGGTTTTGGGG